GTTGCCGCCATGTGATTGGCTGATTAGAAATTAAGTGTTAACGAGCAGTTGGACAGGTGTACCTAATAAAGTGGCCGGTGAGTGTATATAAAAACAGAATAAAGTTTGTTGTTCCAACTTTCCCCCACATCAGACCTCCTGTAAGGACGACTCTGAGCTCAGCGGCTGCAGGTTCAAGGTTTCTGTGATAAAACGTGACGCGTTTAGATTCTGGTGCTGATCGGGTCCAAACTCACTGAGAGGAGACGTCTAAAGGTACGTTTGAGCTTTTATTTTAGAAAATTATATCTCAGTGCTTCATATATTTACACATTTATTAGACTGTGGGTCATGTTGCAGAGTTTCTGCAGAGTTTAGAGCTGCAGCTGGATGAACTTTGATCATCTGGTCACTGATTTTTCACTCTCTCATATTAACGAYACAAGACACATGCTCCTGCAAGAATTTACAAAAGAAAATATCATTTTAATTCCAGTCAAGATGTTAAGGAAAGAAAGCAATAATGATTTTAAATGAATATGCATAAAAACTAACTTGTCAGAGCAAACATTTTTCAATGATTTGAAGAACTAATCATTTAGTCACTTAGTACAAGTTAATAAGTAACGAAAAAAACATTAATTATCTAAAAAGTGAATTACTGCCTTTGCAATTAGAAGTCACTTTTCATGTTAGTCAGGAGCAGACAAAACAGAAAGAGGCTTTCCAGAGCTGATGACCTACAAAATGTGTTTTTTCTAAAGTATATTTTCTTTATTCAAATAATTATTTAGTTGCTTTTAAGTTTCATTTGGTGAAGGAAACAGAAATAATCTGGGGAGCAACTGCGATGACTTTATTTACCGAAATTAATTTGTTTGTTTGTTTGTTAATTTATTTATTTACCAGTTTTCTTTGCACTTGTGTGGGGAAGCGGAACTTTGTTCTGAGGCGCCTCGTTCCGCCCGGACTGTTTAACCGTCGGACCAGAGTCTCCACGGTCGGTCACAGCTCCGTCCTGTTTACCTGGAAGGTAAGAGCTGAAATAATGAAAACTTTAATTTTCCTTGTGGGGTTTTCTGTTCARGATGGAGGCCGTTGTGGGTTTGTTTGTTTGGAAATGAAAATATTTGCATATTTTTCGCTTCGAGGGTTGATTTTCGCGCTGGTTTGACTGGTTTCTCCACTTCCTGCTAATTTAGCTCAGAGTTAGCTTGTTTGTGAGATGTTGTGTAGTTTATGTTGTGTTTGTAGGTTCAGACACACTTGTAAACCGGTTAGCCTTTTATTTGACCTTTTCTTATCGTGTTTACTCTGACAGAGCTGCTGCTGCTGCTGCTGCTGCTGCTGCTGCTGCTGCTGCTGTTGTTGTTGTTGTTGTTGTTGTTGTTTAGTTTTTCTTAATGTTTAAAAGATTGTCCTGTTTGAAGCTAATAATAATGATATATTTTTTAAATTTGTTGAGCACTTTACGTTCATAAATCTCAAAGTGCTACATCCCACCTTCATCTGTCACTTATCTATAGTTGGGTTCAGGAGAGAAACCAGACCTCCCTCTCCTCAGCTCTCCAGGTCCTCCTGGGGGACCCTAAGGTGGTCCCAGACCAGAGTCTCAGGCTGAGGCAGGCATTGCCTTCTTTATCCTGAAGTTTATTCTGACAGAGACAGGAAGCAGGTCTGCTGTAATCTTCTCATGTTTTTGAGTTTTAATAGTCTAGTGCAGGGGTCTGCAACCTGCGGCTCTGGGGCCACATGTGGCTCTTTGATCCCTCTACATTGGCTCTGTGAAAATGTGACCAAACCTAACAGAATATATATATATATATATATA